AGCAAGATGGGTGATTAGACGCCCTTATCCTGTGTCAAGTGACCATGAGGTCTCCAGATAGCTATTAGGAGTAAACTCATTTATCAACACTTTCATAACCGGGACCCCCTAGGCGCGATGCAAACTGGCCCTATTGTTGTCACATTTTCTGTCATTATGGTAAATAATTTCAGCGCATCTGGTGGGTTGAGAAATACACCAGCAAGGAGTGCTTAGTTTACATTGAAGGCACAATTTTTTGTTGCTCTAATGAGGTATGACCTTCACAAAGGCGTATGCCAATCGGTTAGTAGTCTACCTAACCGCAAGAAAGTTTAACAGATATGTATAGGGCAGCTTTAAGACCCAAAAATTTGTCAGAGCAGATAAATCGGGTTGTCAACATGATTAATTTCTACATATAACCCCATCTGATGAGGGTACTTGCGGAACATCTCTAGGTACTGCAAAACGAGGTGCGTCACTTTGCCTCTTCTCTTTATCTGTTTCACTTCGCACAGGCAATAAAGTGAAAGATTCTCATTATTTATAGAGTTTAATAATGTAAGTTTCAAAAATTCAAATCCTGCTGCCATCCTAGCCTTCTCATCACACCACTTTCTTTGTTCTTTCATAGATTAGCCACCTTAATCTGGCTGAATGTTCAGAAGAGTCATAAGGTCAAATCCGGAAAATGGTAGTGTTTCGTAGCTTTATTAAAATATCACTACTTTCCACCCCAATTCCAGTAACTTCTTTGTCTCATGTCAAGAAAATACCCTGTTTTTCAAGCCTTATATTAATAAATTGACCTCTGCACAGCGAAAACTTTCAGACTACCCTAGCCAGAGATTCCAAAATAAAAATTTTTACTAAATCCTCGCGTACGCCATGATTGCCCTCTTTTCCTCTTACCTTACTGTCTACAGTGCAGGGTTAGTTTCTTCACAATTAACAAAGATAAGTCATCACTTTGAACGACTTCCGTTAATATGGGGTGATGACTTTCAAATGATGTCCAACATAATTAACCAAAGTGGTGCCTCTAAATTATTTGACATTTAATTCATGGATTGGCATTAATGCTTCTCAGATTTTTTTATTAAAGAAGTTTACAGGCTTCCCTACTAGTAACGTACCCATCATGGAATAGCCCTATTTACTCGAAGAATTTAGGCGGAAAGTGAGATGGAATATTGGTACAAAGTAAAAGGTTACGCTATCTGTACCACTCGAAACTTCAAAGTCATTACTGAGCACTAAATATGAAATGTCACGAAGTGGGAGCAGTCACTGAATCCGCTGTGATTGAAAGACGAATGGGTATAGATGAAAAATCCGCCTCTGATTAACAGCTAACCTCGTATTCCGTGAGAAGGTAATTGACAATTTGAAGGACACTGGACTTAGATGGTAAGAACGGCTTCATTATAGGTTGCCTGATCTACTTAAATGCGTATAAGTAGATGTAATGAGCCTAAAATAGTGTCACTCGATTCAGACTAAACTATTGCCATCAGAAGAAAGCTCTAACGAAAAGCAATAAATGCGCGTAATTCGCACTATTTAGCAAATTGTTTGGCTTCAAAACATCATTTTTAAAAAAGATGGTCTCAATATGGCGTACTTAGCCGTGAATGGTTCATTTTCGAAGTCCCCTACTGATTCAGTAGTCATGCCGTCAACCTTGAAGATTGAAGTGTCTTCAATGCCCCTTGCCAAATGGACCTATCTTCCTTCTCACTTCGTGAACTCCTGCGAATTGCACAAACGATTTAATACCACAATTTTGACTCCACAAGCTCTCCTTTCATTAACATGAATTTCAGAATAAAAGCAAGGCTTCAATAGCTATGGAAGAGATATTTTTATCTTGCACAAGTTGAGGTCTCAGTATATGGAGGACTGACCACCTTCTCTTCCGACGTATTACATTAGCAGATTATTCGGGACTCCTACACGGAAATGGAAGTAGACCCCATTTATTTCTACTTCTTCATATCTTTAACGGCGGGGTTTACACCACAGGTACCTTTGGAGACTGCTGTGACAACATAAAATCCGATTATGCATTAATTTTTGCTCGAAGCCTCAACGATGTTTCGCCATTCGTAAGCCCTTTCGAGATATGTTAAGGGCCCTCCACATTGTGAATGAGACTGATAAAGTATCCTTTATTCATCACACCAGTTGAGCCAGCTTTGAGTGCTTTGATAGCCGCACAGACGACAACAATGTGAGAGAATTTATCGTCGTGTCTGAACACCCACGCCGACGAGCGATTTTGTGCTTACGAAGGACGAAATTGACAAGCTACGTAGGAGTAAGTGCTTAACACTTATACCACGTGACTGCAAACAACTGGTCACACGACATAGTGAAGTGAAACCACCCACTTCTTCCGATCTCGTTTTGAGTCCCAATGGCAAAATATGAAGTTGGTGGAGAGGTGGTGAATGCAGAGGTTGATTAAAGCATTGTCATCTCTCAAAGACACATTTCTTTAAAACCGATTGATCTTTCTGAAAAGTAACTCCATAAGTCATGGAAAAACAAAAGCAGGTGTTCACATACCTTCTATGGGGGAACTAGAAGTGGTGTGGGAAAATACCTCCTCCTTGTGCAATATCCAAGGTGGCTACACCACTGTCATTTGATAATGAAATTAGAAATGCAGTTTTCCATGCCTGAAATCCATGATTAATTCTTTCATTTTCGAGCGGAAGCACATTTTAGTGGTATAATTTGGAGTAATTATACAAGAATAACTAAAGTGACAGGAATATGTATTCTCTTCCATACTCTCATTGAACACTATGAATAACTGTTCTCCTCTGAGATGCTCTTGCTACGGAACGTCTTTTATCCTTCGACGGTGCCTAATGCTTTGATAGCTTTTTCCGACTCTCTATTTCATTACGCGGATGCATAAATATTCACAGATGCAATTTCTGCTCAGCGGTATTTCCTCTGAGACATGCCATTTGCCACTCTGCCCACTTCTGACTCTGTAATGTATCTTCAGCCAAACTACTCTGCCTTCTTACAATGGCAGAGGGGGCAACGACAGAGAGAGACAGGGAGAGGGTTTGAGATACCACTCCCTCCCCTCCTCAATCCCTTCTTCTCTACCACCCTCCTTCCCTCTCTCCTTCCCTCTGACACACCTAATCTCGGTGTAAAAGGAAATGCATATGTAAATGTAGAGAATCTTCTTGCTGTGTTAAACAGCTCCGTCTTCATTTCAGCATCCTTCATCCTGTTTCGTGGATGAAAGGATAGTTTGACTTCTTCTCCCGTCTGCTGTCGTTACCGTTTGTATCGGTGTAGTGAACATTGTGAAACAATTCGTGGTACAACAGTGAAAGATGCAGTAGAAGACACCCATCATTGAGCAGTAATTGACGAAGTTAAACATTTGCATTCTGATGGTGTTACTGACGAACTCAGATCGCCAAACTTGTCTTTAAGCCCTCCAGGACACCCACAATTTTACCCTCTTCCATTCCACTTTGATTCCCCAACACCATACAACGGACTCTGTAGTAAATTCTTATGTTTTTATAATTATTAAAACAAAGGATGCAAATTGTTGCATTATGGAAATAAAAAGTGGAGCACGATTTCCATTACTTTGCTTATAAAATCACGGTTAAAGGGAGTGGGATGAGGGAAAGAGTGAAGGTGATCATTGCAGTAGCTTCATTTCGCTGGACTGACATCTTTATTCCGCTTTCCACTGCTTGTACAGCGCGCACATCACAAGGAGGACTACGAACTAAAACAAAATGAAAGACATGTGTTTGAGTTGAATTTTGACCATCGTGAGTTGAAAGAACTACGTCTCCAACAATTGGGTGTTTTAGGGAACAAAGTGAAAAGTTGGCAGCATCACTTGCCTGGAAGACTGAAACACCGCAGCTGATTCCAATGAAGAGGGTTTTGTTCTCTGCCAAGAATTCCACAACCTTCCCTTCGCATCCTACTACAGTCGCATTCGCTGCATCCGTTTTCTCACATTTTTGAGCTTGTGGCTGGCCATTCGCCATGGTGATATTCATATTGCAGCATGGTGGTGGATATTGAAGACCCGCTGAAATGAAATGTGCTCGCCTCTAAGAAAGGGATGCAACTTGCCCTTTGTGCGATTTAAGGAACAAATTTTGGATTGTTTTAAGGTCTTCCACCATTATTTAACGGAATACTGTATCAATCATTTCTTACGTAGCATTCCTTCGAAGTCTTTGTATCCCTCTAGACCGCAGCAAAGTTTGTTGTCATCCTATGGACACAACAATTACCGTAAATCGTTTTACATAGAAAACATCGTGTATGTGACAACCAGTTCATCACCTACCACGCCCAATATGGTCCAAAGAGTGAAGGTGACTTCAGTTAGGGAGTCATTAGTTCGTAGATGTTCAAAGGAGCTCCTAAGCAGTTTAAATGCTGCTTTGTTTAGCTACAAAAGATGAATAGAATAAGTTATTAAAACCTCTTTGTTCGACTCATTATTTTATTTCCCGCAAGATTGTGACCTCATGGTAAAACCGAAGTAATTGTACAAAGCTGTAACTTACGTTATCAGGAATGGCGAAGAGGTAGATGATGAGAGCCAGTTCAATTATAGTGAGAATCGCAAGTAGAGCTATGTACTGTAAAAAAAAAGTGAAAAAAATGTCATTTATTATTTCATGGAAATGTGAAAGGAAGATAAAATCATAATTGTAGCTTACAATGAATCCAAAGAATCGGTTCTTGCAGAAGAGGGCAAAGACACCGAAGAGGGCGATTATGGCCACAGCAAAACCAATCACGATGAAAGCAATCGAAAGGCCAGCTGAAGTGAAGCAAACAAGCAGTATTTTGCAAAGCAAAATGTCATAAATTTGTAATTCTATCTGTAGCAGACTGATCAACTTACAGCCGTAGTAATGGATGAATTTGACCAAGTCTTGCACCTGCTGCTCCGACCATTGGGAGGAGACCTTATCCAGCAGATTTTGGACGAATTTGTCGTTGAATTTTATCAGTAGGCCTAGTATCCCGACGGCTGCGAAAGCAACCTAAAACACAGGAGGGTGGAATTGTGTGCGCACTTTGAAGGCAAAGGAAGGGTGTGTGGGATGTGAGGCATTAGTGTGCACTCAATCGACTTACGAAGAGAAGGAGATTCAAGAATGCCAGGAGAAGTCTAGCACATCCGAGAAGACAGCTCATTTTGCTGATTATCTAGAAAAAGGAAACAAATGCATTCGTAATTTCATAGTGGCAAAGATGTTGATGATATCACCATGCAATCTATATACCCACAGCAAAGATTATGAATGCGCTTGTGATTTCTTTCGGGACTTAAATAGATCGTGTATGCCAGTCATGCGCATGTAGCTGTGAGCTTGGAGGATCCAATTAATTAACGTCAATGTAGAACGAAGGACATGACGAAACAATCCTTGTGCAGGTTTTCAAGGTAGCATTTTCTATGGCTCTAAAACTAACCAATCAATTTGGCTCATTTGAGCATACTTCTTTGTGTCAATGTGCGCAAATGCTGACATCCTCATGTGATCCGCTTTTCCATGATTTCAGGGCAATATATTACTGAATAAATTTTATTGTCTCCTTCTAAGTGTTTTGCGCTAGCCTCGGAAGTTCTGATAGCTGCATATTCAGTCCCATCCGGTCTAATGATCATAAGGTAATGGAGAACTAAGTGTCAACATGCACTCCTTACTTCGTAGGAGGATTGACAACACCCTAAGTTACTTTGCCTTTATTTGAAAGAATCATGGTGTATAATTGTGGGAAAATCACTCCAGCAGACGACCTCATTTCCGATTGAACGAAATAAACATGAATGGTCGAATGAGTTGGAAAGAAGGGGTAAATATCTGGGTGGAAGAACGACTTCTGGAGATGAGCAATCAAGTCCAGCATAAATGAGCCAGGGTTAAATAGATGAAGGAGGGTTAAAGATGAGTGAAGGGTGAATGTGTGGAGCAAGGACTGTATTGATGAATGAATGGGTCACAGTGTGGTTAACTGGGTTCCTTCAGAATCGATGGAATTCAGGTAGATGCTCAAATGGAGCGAGATAAATGGGAGGTTTAATCTCGTCATTTACTAAGACGTTTCAGTAAATTCTGTCGCTGAGGAGCATGACACCACCCAAAAAAGTAGTATTGAGAACAGTTTCGCATAGATAGACGAAAAGTTTGACGGATAGATGCTAGGAAAGGTACATTGGTGGAAAATTTAATGAGAGACATTAAAACGTTTTTCTTCATCTTCACTGAGTTCGTCATATGACCACATGAAATCGGTTTTGCGTCATCCTGATTCTGTAGTCAGGAGATGTACTTGATAATGGAAAATGCGGGCGCAGGCGATACAAGCGCTTCTTCATCTACCTTAAAGTGTTTTGAATCCCTGAGCAAAATAAAATTTAAAATCGGCAAAACACTGATGTGGCTCATCAAAACAGACGTTAAAATAGCGAAATTCATTAAAGTAAATAAGATCACCTATGAAAAAGGAATTACCAGTGAAGACACATTTAAGTAAACGATCAAGTTTAGTTGGAGATGGCTGGGTGAAAGCTCTTCGCACTTTGCACCTTGATACAAATCCACCCAATTTATTCCTTTATGCCTTTACCTCAGCTTAGAATTTGGCTCTTTTCCATGTTTTGGCGGAGCACAGCCTGTTGAGTGTGATATTCTAGCTTTTAAAGCAATGATCATAAATCTTCACCCTATCGCACACACTACCCACTTCGACAGGGGTGTTAGTCAGGCTACATCACGGAAGGCACCGTTATGAGCAGTTAGCCAGCCCTTTTGACTAGAAGCTCTTGTAAGTGCTAAGAGACATAAATTCTTCTGTAACAATTATTAATGCACATCATAATTCTCTAAGAGGCAAGGAGAGGGCTCACCTATGAGGACACATTTTCACAGGTTAGACCAGTTTAGCAATCTCGAAAATATACGCTATTATTTATGCGCATGGATTACGAGGTGGTGGTAGCTGTTGGTTGGTCTATCGAGAGAGGAATCGCCACTAGGCTCCCTTTCATTACCTTACCATAACAACGCTTTTATAATTGTAACGTGCAGTACCCCCAGTGATTTGATCATGTCTGCTTACCCCGATGCATTGCAGGTTGATGTAAACGAAATGTGTGCATTTCGTGGACTCAGGACTCGAGCACTGTTGATTGCATTTGTGTAAGAGAAAAAAAGGTATCGACGTTAAACAAAATTCATAATTAATTGGATTAGCTGGTTTAAGTTCATATAAAAAGCGGAGTTGTTTTATTGCTTAGGTCTATTAACGTTCCACTTTTGCTTGTATAAACCCACTTTCTACAATTAGTTGTTAAATGCATTCAATTAAATAGAGGATTAGTCTAAACTATAAACCTCAGATTTAACTAATTCTTAGGAAAGAATACTTGTTAGTTATAAATAGCTTTAAATTAATCACTACAAAAAAAGATTTCATGTGTGCTTAAATTGAGCCTATTGAATGGTGAGTTTTAGCAAGATAGATAGGATCCCTCTTTTGATTCTCACACTTGCAGATAACAATCCGAGATGAATTGTCGAAAAGACAACGATTGTGTCAGTCTTTTGTTAGAAAGAGGGAGGACATAACTTCTTTCTAGAAAGGTGTTTCAAATCGCCATTAGAATAAGGATTCTAACACGTGGCAAAAGGCGTGTGTGAGTGATCTAGATTGCATTTAGTTTGACGCTTGAAGGGGCTGCCCATCCACAAATCTGAAAGTCGTACATTCACGGATATAACGTAACTAACCACCCATTCATTTTCCAATGAATTTGAATTGACTACATTAAGTGTCTTTGTCCCCTTGTTGTGCTTAGCCTCATTATTGCTCAATGCTCGTCACTGGCTGCAGCAACTTCATTCAATGAGTCCAAGCTTTCATCAGGGAAACTCTGTTGAGGTGGAGATGAGTTTCGATTTAGGAGGATATGTTAAGAACTGGATGATGCTCCACGAACGGTGGTTCTTTACTCCTGTCATGCCAATTGACTATAAAGTAACAATTACTTAGCCTTAACCAACAATCAACTAGACGCTAAATAGGGCTTGTCAAGTTAACTCCGTAATTTTGCCAAATTTCTCCTCAAATGCCGTCAGACTATATGAAACCCTCTTAAAGTGGTCTACATCTAAATGATAGATTGGTTGGGGTTTCAACATTCTTATCGATCAATTTATTCTTTCAAAATAGCGAATCTTACTGCACCAGGCCTCATCTTATGTCATATGATTTCATTATTCCCACGAAATGAGAAGGAAAGTGCGTGGGATTCTCGTTTGCGCACGATTTCACAAGCAGAAGGAAGATTTACCTACAGTCAGTCCCACTGCTATTTGGTAGGCAGAATTGTGATTGGGGGCTACAGGGGTAACATAGGTGGAGACAGATGCTGAATGAGTGAGGGGAACGGAGGAATCAGCAGTTCCCCACGCATTTGCCTGCTACATTCATTCACCCCATTTACAAACCACACTTACTCTCGTGTTCAAGTTATGGCTGCAAAGTACCCCAAACAGCGAAGTCCACTTCGTTATCAGTGTTGAAGTACTGACATATGTACGCTTTCACTGCCTTTGTTGCATTGCGAGGTCTGAGGCAAAGCATGCACTACATGCCCTTTAGTGATTGTGCTCACATTCAGACGTTGACTGAATATTCGTGTTTGTGAGTGATGTGACTATAGCATTAGGGTGTAAAATCTCCATCAGTAGGGTTGGCGCTAGCTTACGCAGGACCGGTATAAGACTTGGACATCTCCAAATCATTTGATCCAATGTCTTACTGCACAGAAAATGAACATTGGAGCAGCTAGGTGTCCCAATACCATATTATCACATCCTCTGACAGCATTAGTACCAGGTTCCCATTGTAATATGCTATTCCATAATCCAATCTGTTGCAACTGTTGACTGTCATCTTGATTGACTGCCTCCACACATCACAACACCTCATGACTCGAACATCTCTTGTGAATGATGCAACCCATATGGCATTGCTTATGTCGTGTGTAGGACTGCCACATAAAAACTGAAGCACCCACTTTGGGTTTGGCAAAACAAAATCTACTGTTTCAACATGGGGGGATATTCAAATGGTGAGGTGGTCTGCTAGCACGAAGCGACATTCTACTTTAAAATAATCAGTAGAGCGTGTTGCCACAGGTCTTGCGGGTGTATGTACCATATGAATACGTTACAGCAGTTGTAAAGGGTGGAGTGAGTTGTGACGTCTTCTGAAGCGAGTCTCTGCCGATTCAGCAACTGCACCAATGATACGTCCATTTTGGTCTCCCATTGGTCTACCAACAGTCTCAGAACCTATCAGGAGAGATATATTTGGCAGTCATCTCCAATTTGTTGGAATCATGAGAGCATTTACTCCATGTCTTTCATTCCTTCACTTTCCTTTTAAAATAAGATGGTTAAAGGCATTTAACATACGGCAAAGTAGCTGATGAGTAGACTGAGAGAAGAGGTCTCATCTCTGAGGTCTTCTTCTGCTTCGTTCTTTTGGTGGAGATAGCATCTGGTCAGCAGTGGGAACTATCCCTCCATTTACTTGCGCCTACACACGTAGTCCATAGTTGGTTAGATTTCGTTTGGATTTGAAAGAGCTAGAAAATGCTATTGCCCACTCAAATGTGCCAAAATGAAGCAGACTTCACCGATGATGTGCTTGACTGCTTTACTTTGATCCAACCTGCATTTGAGGGCAACAAACGTAGTATAGAGACTCCAGCATCTCCGTTTTGGATGTATAAGAGTGCAAAACGCTGCTAACTACGTGGATCTTTTTGTCTTTCTTTGACTGACAAGCTTTGTTTACTTGTAAATCAAGTTAGTTTGAATCCTATAGACATCGACAAGTTCTAGCTCATGAACACGATGCCCTGTTCTAAGGTGAATGAGTTGGCTGGAGAGCCTGTCTGCTGACAAAGAAGTAATATTTCCACTTGCATTTGATGGATACTAATGGAACTCGCATGCCAGGTGCGAACTCTACATTTAACGTCCTCTATCTGCTTGTACTAATTGATGGTATCTTTGAGTTCCTTTATTAAACGGAAACGAGGACCAAGGTCCCATGGCACGTTCAACTCACTAATTACCTAAGAGCATAGAGAGGAGGGCGCTTGATTGCTAAAGTCTTTGAATCAGATAAGCGATGCTTTAAATTGCGAAACCACTTTTCCTTTGTCTAGACGATGCTTCATCTCCTGGACTCCACAGCGTCTTCGCCCCCCACAATTTCTACATCCTTATTGATACTGTGGCTCTACTGAGCTCTTTTTCTTCACGAAAAGACCTCAAAAGGGAATTGAGAAGCAACATCGATAAAAATTATACGCCTACGCTGCCCTTACGAATGAAAAATACTACGACTATTCCGGATACTTGATTTGAAGCGTCACGTAGTGGGAGGAGTCATTAAAATCCACTGTAATTCAAAGCTGAATAGGTACAAATACAAACTTTGCCTTTGGATCGTAGTTAACCTTGTATTCTGCGGGAAGATAGATGACAAATGACATTAAAAGGTGAATATTATAGGGCCGCCTGGCCTACTTAAATGATCATAAGTAGGTAGAATGGGAGATAAATCAGTGTTCCTTAAAACCCTATTTCAGAATTGCCTTCAGGCGAAAGCTGGAAAGAAAACGCAATGACCGTGTGCATTACAGACTTTCTTTGAAGGGAATTAATCGCCTTTCAAACATCACAACTATGAAGCTAAATATCTCAATAGGGTTGATTTAGCCTGGTAAGACATATTTCAGAAGTTCTTTTATTAATTTAGCAGCCATCCCATCAGCCTTGAAGTTTTGAGGGTTTTCATTGTATCTTGGACACATGCACTCTTCCTCCTTCTCTCCTCGTGATCCTCTGTAGTTTGATTGAATGTAGTTTTGCCAACCTATACTGACGACTTAACCCTAGGCGCACCAAATGCGATTTGGTACCAATATTTTAACTTAACTAAAACTAATTTCCATTGACTTAGGTTTTGAAATAGACATTGTGCTTTAGCAACTGTGGAATGACCCTTATACCCGTCAGCGGTTGGATTCACATTATTCAGAGGGCTATCCACTTTGAAACTCAAGACAACACATTAGCCAGTGCTTAGAATAGACCAGGACGCAGAATTATGCACGGCTGTGAGGACTGATGAGATAAAATGAAGTCTGAAAATATAGTAATTCCCAAATGAAGTCATTTACACTCTAAGTCAGAGAGTCCTTTTTGGCACATCTTGTCAAGCTAAGCGGATGTAAGTCTGTGGCAGTTACCATTGGCGTCTGAATGTCCAGTGAGCACAAGACGCAGAGACACAACCACCCACTCAGTGGCAATGGCAAAATATTGAGTTATTGGAGAAGCACCTGCAGAGGCTCATCAGAACCTCGTCATTTCTTAAGGAGTTTTACCATTTAGAACAAACTAAATGCATAAGACTTTGGGAAACCAGAAATAGGTTTTCCCATATCTCCCATGAAGCGATTCAAACAATGTTAGGTAGTACCTCCTCCTTGTTCAGTATCCAATGCAGGTGCAGGATAGGCAGTTAATTTCAAAATTAAAATTTTAGTCGTCCTTGCTTAGAATTCATAAATAATTCTCTCCATCTCAAGCAAGCACGCCGACTAAGCGGACATAAATCAGAGCAATGATACAGGCTTTTATTAACCGACTGGAACTTTATATTGTGCTCCGTACTCTCCAAGGACATTATGGACGACTATTCTCCTCTGAGAGGCTCTTGCTATGCAACGTCTTCTATCCTCCCACTTTGTCTATTTGTCTGACAAGCTTTTCCAACTCTTTACTCCGTTACGCAGGCTCTTAAATATCCATTGACGAAATTCTCCTAGGCCGTATATCTTCTGGGACATGCCAGCTGCTACTCGACCCTCCTCCTGGTCAGTAACAGAACTTCTGCTACACTACTACGATTTCAGACGACTGCAGAGAGGACCCAAAGTGATAAACTTACGCCTTTTTAACTCACGCACCATCTCTTCCCACTCTCTCTCCTTCACCATTTACCCTTTTCCCTCCACTACCCATTACACAGTAAAAGAGATCTCCATCCTAATCACTAACGTCTGCGGCACACTCCCAACTTCCGCCTGTTTCAATTCGTCTTCATTTCAAGACACCACAAAACAGTCTCTGTAGCAGGTTTGATAGCCTTTTCATAACTTAAAAGTTGTAACTATATCTTATGCAAAATACGATTAGAAATTGAAATACCGATTCTGTTAATTTGCATATGAAGCATCGTTAATGGAAGCAGAGTGAAAAAACAGTTAAGATGTCTAAGGGCAGTTGCTTCAGTTTGTTAGGCTGACATCTTTAATGCCATATCCACCACTTGTACAGACAGCACACCACGATAAAGACCAAGACCTAAAATAGGATGAAAGATATGTATATGAGTAGAATCCTGGCCATTGTGGGTTAAGAGATCTTTGTCTGGAATTATTGGATGTGGTTCCCAAGAAGCGAGATGGAATTTGAGCAGCAAGACCTACCTTGTAGACTGTAATGCTGCAAACGATCCATAAGTAGTAGCCTTTGTACGAACCCAAGAAATCCTCAATCTTTTTTTTGCACCCTCCGACGCCAAGTCTTTCTGCTTCCGTTTTGTTACATATTTGATCATGTGGTGGGTCTTTAATCACGGTGATATTGAGGCCGCAGCATGGTGGTGGATATGTAAATGGAGCTAAAACCAAGTGTCCTTGCATCTTAAGAAATGTTATCACTTGTTTCCTATAAATTTTATAGCAATAAGTCATAATTCTCCTAGAAATCTTTCACAGCGCCTAACGGGATACCATTCCAATCGAATCTTACGCGGCATTCCATCGAAGTCGGAGGGTCCGTGTAGACCACAGCAGAAATTACCATTCGCCTAAAGAAGAAATTATTGTGAAGCGTTTTCAAATAAAAAGAATATTTCATTCTTCTAACAATTAAGTTATCACCTACCATACCCACGACACCCCATAAACCGAGGATGGGTCCACTTAGGGAATCATTGGTTCGAAGGTGTACAAAGGAACAATTAAGTAATGTTAATATTGTTCCGTATAGCTGCAAAAAGACAAGCGTAAAAATTTCTTGGAATCCGTTTTCGCAACACTTATACATGTTCCCAGAATAGGTACGAATTTATGGCAAATTTGAGCTGACCATACAATGTTATGACCTACCTTATGAGGAAAGGCGAGGAGGTAGATGATGAGAACCAGTTCAAGTATGATGAGAATCATAAGTAAAACCATGTACTGTAAACAAAAATTCCTCTTATTATTTGGTAGTTATAAAGTAAGGCAAAATAGCATTTATAGCTTACAGCGAATCCAAAGCATGAGTACTTGCAGTACAGAGCAAAGACACCGAGGAGGGCGATAAGGGCCACAAGAAAACCAATTATGATCAAGACAAGCGCAAGGCTGGCTGAAGCGAATCACATAAGTAATTTTTTATCAGGAAGAATGCCAAAGTGCTGTGCTTCAATCTGCAGCAGACTTATCAACTTACTGCCGTAGTACTGGAGGAAGAGGACCACTTCCCCCAGCATTTTTTCTGGCCAATGGGAGACCAGCTTTTCCATCAGAGTGACGGCGAATGGGTAGCTGAATTTCAACAATAAGCCCAGTATTCCAATGGCCGCAAAAATAATCTAAAACATAAGAGGGTCAATTTGTGTCCCCACTTTGAAGGAGAAGGCAAGATGTATGGGATGTAAGGAGTTAGTGCCCACTCATTTGACTTACGAAGAGAATTAAATTCAAGAGTGTCAATAGACATCTAAGACACCCAAGAAGACAGTACATTTTGATGAATCCCTAGAAAAAGGGAAACAAAAGCATTCATAATTTCATGGTGACAAAGTTGTTGATGAAATTACCAAACAAACAAAGCACCCACAGCAAAAGTTTTGAGTGTGCATGTAGCAGGTTTTGGGACTTATATAGATCATACGTGCCAGTCAAATGAGTGTAATTGTGAGGATTGAGGAGCCAATTATATGGCATCCAAGTAGAACGAAAGTAGAACGAAAGATCCGAAACAAAGCTTGTGCAAGCTGAGTAATGTAGCAATTTCTGTGGCTTTCAAGCGAACCAATCACTGTGGATAATTTGGGCAGCCATCTTTGTAGGTAATGGGAACAAGTGCCGCCACCTACATGTGATCCGTTCCCCAAAATTGTAGAAGACTCATTAATCTGCTATTTAATGAATAAATGTTGTGATAAATGATGTATATTTGCTAGTTGTTTGGTATATTGGATGCTGGATTAAACACACCGCTTTATTTTTCCCTTCCAAATGGTTTATATTAACCTTATCAAGTCTGACAGGTGCTTAATCAATGACGTCTTGCTAATAAGCACCGCTTATTCCACCTTAAATGTCTCTAACTTTTACTGAAGTAATCACAATTCTTTATTCTAGAAATCCACTCTTGCAGACGGCCTTAGTTTCCGTTGGATAAACCAAGCATGAATGAATGATGGAGTTGGAAATGAAGGGACCAATGTTTAGGAAGATGAGAAATCAAATGCAGAATGGATGGATAATGAAGGAGACTACGACGAAAGCAGAGTGAATGATTTAAGTTATATCTATAAGTGAAGGGATGGCTCTATGCACAACTTGAGTCCTTAAGAAATGAGGGAACTAATTTTGCAGCTTGAACGTAGAGAAATAAACAGAACCTTTAGTTTTGCTATTTGAAAGGCATTTTAGCAAGTCCCACGATTTGGGAATGTGGCAATACCCAAATAAATGTTACATCGTGAGTTATCCTCGATGAGTAGCTGGGAGGTTTGGTGGACAGGTGGTAGGAAAGGCAAATAAATGGAAAATTGGATACGACCATTGGAGCATTTTTTTGCACCTCTTAGGGTGTATCACATGACCACATCAAATCTATCCTGTGCCCTCATATTTTGGAAGTGAGGAGATGTATTTGGTTGTGGGAATATGGCGCAGGCAACACGATCGCATTAGCAACTGCCTTGACAATCGGCAATACGCATTGGAATGCCTCATCAGCTCGAAGTTGGAACAGTAAAAATAAACTTCTCTTCAAATGTTTGTCACTTATGACAAAGAATTTGCTTTGTCATCCTGCATTTCCCAGAACTTAACATCCTAATTGCGGATGGTTGGTTGAATACCTTTACTCACTTTCCTTTGTTATACAAATCGCCTCTAATCATTCCTTTTATCAACCACTGCTTTAATCTCAGCCCAGAACTTGGCTCTATCCCATGTGACAGGCATGATGCAGTCTGCTAGGTGTAACATTCTAGCTTCCAAACCATTAATCAAAATATTCTAGCCCACTGCACGCTCTTCACTCCCACAACAATGCTTGTCATGCTACATCACGGGATGCATCTTTATGAGTAATTAGACAGCTCTTTTGACTGGGAGCTCTAGTGGGTGTCAAGTGCCACAAGACACGACTCCTTTTGCAGGAATGATACAAGCACATCATAATGCCCTGAGAAGGAGGGTGAGGATTCACTTGTAAGGACCTATCCCGCCTGCTCTATACGCATGCATTTCCAAATGTAGGTAGACATTCGTCTGGCCATCGGTGGACCGATGGATGCTCAGCTCTAGTCCACTAGTGTAGAGTTACGTAGAGTGTCTGCTGTGGTTTTAGCTTGTCTACATACCCCGATTCAGTGCAGTGTGATGCAAAGAGTGTGTATTTAGTGGACTGGATACTCAATCAATGGTGATTGCATTTGTCTGAGGTAATGGGGTGAACTCTGACTGTGTCTATGCCAGCTAAAGTCAAAAGCCTTTACCAATTGGGTTTACCGGTCTAGGTTTGTGCAGAAAGTGGGATTGTTTAAATGCTCATCTCCATTAGCTGCTCACTTTTGTTAGTTCAAACCCACTTTCTACAAGCTAGTGTTGAAAGCATGCAATCTACTGATGGATTAAGCTGACCAATAAACCTCAAATCAAATGTATTTTATAAAATTTAATTGAGTGTATTTAAGCAGCTTTTTGTGGATTATCACATGGACAGATTCTTACGGGTAATTTGATTGCGCCTTTTTGAGTGGTCTATTTATGTGTGGTAGATAGAATCCCTCTTTTATTGCTCACACTTGGAGGCAAGAGTCCATGAGGAAATGCCGTTTGAACTCTTCTCAGATTTTTGACATACATTTTGCTAGGAAAGCCAACCACTGTAGCTGACGTTAAATAAAAGGCCGGAGGATTTAGCCTCCCCATATATGGGTGTTTCAAATCCCCATTAGGTTAAAAATTCTATCTGAAACGTGGCTGGATAGTTTGTTTTATGTGTTCCAATCCATCCACTAATCGAGTGTAGGTTTGATATATCCATAGTCGTTAAATTAACATGTGCCACCACCCATTCCTTCCACGATCACACAAAGAATGCTTGTCTTCTTTCTGTTTTGAGTCTCATTTTCGCTGCTCATTTCTGACCACCAACCATCGTAACGTCAATCGTTGAAACGCCTTATCTCCACAGTGGGACTGCAGTCAGTGTGAGGTGACGACGCATTTGTAGTACAGAAAGGCTTCCGGTTGCAATTGATAGGACTGACGCATAGCCTGTTTGAGTTTTGATGTTTCTGCGGTTTGGCGAAGTGTATCAGGGGAAGAGCTTTGAGTCCAAAAGGTGCTAAATAAATCACAAATTGGGAATTCTTACCTGTGTCACGTAAACTGAGTGCATAATGACGTTTATTTAACCTTAATTAGCATTCAGTTTTACTAAAAAGATCGGATGCCTGGTTAACACCTTAAAACTCACAAAGTTTTACAAGAAGCTATAATACCTTCTTAAATGGGTCTACTTTGAAATAAAAAGATTGACTTAAGTCCTCCGGTTTAAATCTGTCTATTTACTGTTTCAGAAAAACAAATCTTGCAACACACAGTTTATCCTAAGTCATCCGATTTCATTAGTCCTACGAAATGCGGAGATAGTGTGTGGGTTTCCCCATTACTCATGATTTTGCAAGCAACATGAGTGGTTAAGTGGGTAATTTGAGGAATTTTGAGACTGATCGATGGATACGGAAACGCATTAGTCTTCGGTTTGTTTTAGTAATAGACTCTCACAGGCGCCTAAAACAAAAGGTATTCACCATGAAGTTTTATGGCTGGGAAAAAAACTTTAGGGGCAAAGCTCGCTTTTCCTGAATTGTATTGCCTTTGTGAGAAAGGATAGATGTCTGAAGGGACACTTACTTGTAAGGAAATTATTTCCAATCCGAAGGTTTGAAAACATATTTCAATGACAGGATGCAGACCATATCACTGGCAAACAGATTGTGCAGGAATTTCCGTGGAAAAGTGCAGTATCAATTTTATAATAAACTTTTATCAAAATCCATCTCCATGGACGCTCCGGTCCTCTTTACCGATTCCAAAGTTCAAAAGGAACAATCCTTTTTTATTAAAAAAGTGAAATATTTAAAGCCTTAATCTCCCCCTTTTTGGCAGTAACACCAAACTTTCTGCAGTGTGTCCAAGTCATTTTAATACTTTATTCTTTAAAAATAACACAACTTTATGCGTTGTTTTTCTACTACTGAGACCAGACTGTTGTCTATCAATAATTCTGGAATGTGACTCAATCCCTTGCATACGTGAGATCTTGCCACAAATTGTCAAGCAACAAATTCCCTCACAAGTAAAATAGACCCGCCTAAGTAACAAAATTGCAAACTTTGAAGGTCACCCTAAGTTATAATGCACATTGTAAACTTTTTGAGGTGGTAATTGTGAAAGGCCTAAAATTCGAGATGAAGCACTTAATCCTCGATTGACCACTACGTGTATGGGAACTGATTTTCCACCTTTTTCACTATTTAGTTAATGGGGTCTATCGGTTTCTCACTTCAAATCACTGATATTTACGCAGAAAAAGAGAAAGATTTCTTTGGGAGGACGAACTTGTACTAGTAAAACGACTGTTGCAATTCAGCATTCCAACCTTACTACTAAATGGAACTACCTAAGACTGTGATATGCCGATAAAATTTTTTCAATGAGTGTATGGAGGTTGCATTAACGAGGATTTTATGGTAGTTTAGTGCAACTTGGCATACTACTGAATTCGCCTGTTAGTAGTGTGGTCTACCATATTTAAAAATGCTCTCAAAAAGCATATCATAACAGATGTAAAAAGTACTCAACTTTAATGGGATTAATGAATTTATGAGAAATTTAAGTTAAAAAGGAAGAGACGCATACGTGATTCAGTCCAGATCGGAACTTATGCTTTCCACACCGGGTAAATGAGAAGTTACTTCAGCGTTACTACATTTAATGGTATGTGACAAATATTTCCTTTTAACACTACCCAAAGCCAATCTTAAAGGCTATTAATTATGTTCGTAGGCAACAATACCAGTGCACGACTGGAGCTGTGAGGTGGTTGAATTTCCTGCATTTGGAGCCGTTAGACCATCACGTGCATGTGAGGCACCGCACGATTAAAGGATGTCCTGCCACTCAGTTAAAAGGGACGTAAACGGTAAAAATGTTTCAAAAATGACTGGCAAGTATTTATCACTAACGAATTTGACCATGGTGTCGCCTATGCCACAGCTCAGCACTCATTTCTGTGGACGTTTGGCCAGCACGCGAAAGTCCTGATTTCCAAACCGCTATTCACAATCCAAAAGTTGGCTCATGCCGGACCTTCTAGGCTGGTTAAGTCATTCTGGCCAACCTTGTTATGCCTGGAAGATAAGTGTGAACTATGTCAAAAATTAAATGAAGGCTCTACACATCAAAACGTCCCCTTCGCCATCAGAAACTAAAAATATTCAAGTCATTTAAACTCCCCGAGATTTGAAGGAAACCCAATCTTTGGAGAAAAGAATACTGCCTTTTTTCTAAAGAAAATTCTGCATATATTTGGAATAATAAAGGATAAAAAGGCAAACTATCATACAGATGTTCTATCTAA